AATGTGGCTGCCGTTGTTGTGGACCACATATTGCATTCTGTGCACAGTATGCACAACAGCAAAAAGTAACATGTCTGCAGAAATCTCCCGTACAGTCTGTGATATCTTATCCTTCAACGTAGCCAGGTCCTGGACCACTCCTTGATAGACCTTGAACTTAAGGTAACCTCATGGCCAGAAGTCGCATGGGGTAAGATCAGGCGACCAAGGTGGCCTTGCAGTTGGAAAGTAGTGGCTAATGACTCTTTCTGTTGTGAATTTCTGTCGTAGCATCTGTTGCACCCATACAGCAACGTGTGGAAGGGCTTCATCTTGCATGAAAATGATTTTCCCCATGCATTGTCTTTGCTGAAGTGCCGGAATGACAAAGCTGTTCAACATGTGGCAATATTTCTCTCCGGTAACAGAACAGGTTTCCGGTCCTGTCGGGGTAATGTTCTCATAGAAGAATGGACGTACGAAAAATTCCGCTGTGAACCCACACCAAACAGTTACCTTTGGTGAATGTAAGGGAATTGCTGTGACTGCATGTGGTGATTTGTCATCCCAAATTCGGCAGTTCTGGGTATTCACAGTTCCATTCAGGTAAAAGTGGGCCTCGTCTCCCCATAAGATCATTAATCACGGCCAAGCATCATCCACCTTCATTCTGGCAAGAAAGGTGAGAGCAAAAGTCAATTGCTTATCATGGTCGGGGTACAGTAACTCCTGTACACGGCTGATCTTGTACGGATAGAAGTTGATAATTTTTCGTAAGATTTTCCATACCGTACTGTAAGGTATATCCATATTCCATAAGGCATATCCATAATAAAAGGTAATTTTATTCCGTATTAATTTGCATTTGTTAATACTCTATTTTCTATTACACAGCGCCAAATATTCCTCTAGCGGTGACTTTTGGAAGTAATTTTTTTTTTTTTCGCAGAATCCTTCGTCCCCCATCTCGTTTAATCTGCCTACAAAATGTGGCGTCATCTTCACAAATAGATCACGCTACAGAACACTGCGAGCACTGTCAGTTTAATTATGGCCACCCGGTATATATATATATATATATATCTACTTTGTTACTCGGCTCAGTGATCTCAGCTTCTTTATTCTTATATGTTTGTAAATTGTGCATTTTTTGCTTTAAAAATGATTGAATTATGTTGTTCTTATCTTCCAGTTAAGGCTTTATGCCTTTAGTAAATATTTATGCAATATTTTTAGAATTATCAACAATTTAAAAGTTGTTTAAGTGCAGATACGCCTAATGAATTTTGCGATCATGGACATGTTTGTTTACATTTTAAACTTGGGAAAAATAGTGAATGTGTTGCCAATATGGAGAAACTAAGCTTCGCAATAACAAAGATAATGCCTTCTTTTATTGTTGCGAATTAAATCATGTTTAATCCAGTCTCGAATTTATTTGAGGAAATAAGTCTTTAAGATTTAATTCGTAATTTTTAGTACAGATATTTTGAATTTTTATGTATTTTTGCCTTGTTGGGAAGTAAGAACTGAATTAATTGAATGAGAAATACTGCATTGTCTGGGGAAAACTGTTTCTTTTTTGTTTTGTTTGATTAATTTCTTTATATATCATTTTAGATTTATTATAGTATTTGAATAGAACATGTGGCAACAATTAGATAATTCTTAAGATGATATAAATTTTGTGCATTCTGAGTTAAAAAATGATTGAAATGTAGAGCTGTTAAGTGAACCTAGGGCCAGAGTGTTGCTATGGTAAACAAATATAGTGAATTTTAAAGAGTTCATTTATTCTATTGTGGTTTATGCGCGATCGACGAAGTAGGTTTAATGGTAAGGTAGCAAATATAGTGAGTTTTAAAGAGTGCATTTATTCTATTGTGGTTTATGCGCTATCGACGAACTATATTTAATTCAATCCAATAAGTTTAAATAAATGAAATGCAAGAAAAATGCGTATAATTTAATATTCTGTAGAAGTAAGTCGTGTGGGGCACACATCAGATTTTGTAGTTAATGTGGTGCGTTATTTTTTTCATTTTAGTTTATTTCAGTTTGTTTTTCCTTTTCCAAAAATGAGGGTCTTTTCAGTTGTTGATCAGTTGCTTGATCCCATCTTTGTGAGGAATAAATCTTAGTTTGTAGACTTTTTTATGATTTTATTTATTGTATGAGTTTCAAAGCGCGTTTATAAATGTCATTGTTTTTCCATATTTTCATTAACTTAGTTATATATGTATATTATTATTTCTTCATATATTGTAGGTAAATATGCATATGTATATTATAACTCATATAAATTTGTAGCTAGATATATGCATGCGTAAATGTGTCCATGTTTCTATACATATTGCTATTGCTGTTCATTCCACATTTATACACGTTTTCGTGATGGTGCAATAACTTTTTCACTTTTTTAAAATTGGATACTGTTCTGTAATCAGAACCGGATCAGAAATATATGAGTGTATGCACGTGTGTATGCATAAATGTGTCTATGTATATACACAGGTACATTCCTACTTACAGTATGTATATACATGCAGATATATCCATACATACATTTCTGAATCCAGTCCTGATAAGAGAATTAAACCTGAAAGGAGCCTTTTTTTTTTTTTTTTTTTTAAGCAACTGAAATTTGAAGCCTAAAAGCATGTTTTGTACAAGCACATTCTACATATATCACACTCCCAATATACCTCTCCGAGTTTGTCTTTTTTCCTAATTCTTTACATCGAATACAAGTGTGTTTATGATCATTAATTTTTCGACATTTGTGATCATGAAATGCACTAGGCAAAAATATGCCTGAGGTTCTTTTTCGAAACGAATTTTGCAAGGTGGATTCTTCAATCAGTTCTAATTTTAAGTCATATAGCTGCTTTGATCGCTTTAGGATTGGATAGTTAGTGACCCTATGAGCTATAAAAGCATTATTCACTGCTGTGTCTAAAAGTAACCAAAATATGTACATCCACCATTTCAAGGATTTTCTAGAAGCTGAGTAATATTTTCAATGCTGATCTGCTAGACCTACACCTCCCATATTCTTATTGTACTTGACAAATGCGAGTGGACATGGTATTATACTTTTTTCAGAGCCTTTTCTTCTTGTAGTAAAACATGGTTCATTTTTACAGTTTGTGGAAATTATATGTATCAATTTTTTTATCAAGCCAGGATGAATAAAGTAAATTCGGCAGGCTTTTGTATTGCATAACTAAGCTGTCAGGCATGTTTTTCCAATTTTTCATCACAGTTCCACATGATAATCGTCCAGATTTATATAACTCAGACATCAAGTCTACGCTGGTAAAAAATCTGTCAAAATGGATTTCATGGCCTTTGATTTTAAGTGCTTTTATTAAATGCATAACTACGTCATATCCTAAACCCTTTCCTGACCTTAGTATCTTATCTTTTTTACCACAATAAAGTTCAAAGTTGAAGTATATCCTAAGCAAGATGTGTATAGCATCCATATCTTTAATCCACGCTTAGATGGTTTCATAGACATATATTGTATGATCCCTAACCTATCTTTTAATTTAATTAGCGCTTCGTCAATTGATACTTCAGCATAAGGCACAAGATGTTGCTGAAATTTTTTTCTGAAATATGAAACAACAGGCTCTAATTTTTGTGCATATGTAAAGTTCTCTTCGCTATTTTTAACTTCAGTTTCCCTATCAGACAAATGAAAATAATGCTTGATTTCAAAAAATCTTTCTGCTCATCATTTTCTTCACCATTTCATTTTCAAGCATTGCGTTATCTGACCAATAATCGCTTGTTCTTGGTAATTTTACGACACTCATTATGAGAAGGACTGTAATGAATGCCCATATTTCTTTTATGGATGAAATTTTTTCCCATTGCCGATCAACAGTGCCACTCTTTCTTGCACAGAATTCGGCATATTTATTTGTATTTGTGAGAATTATTTCACAAATTTCATCCAATAAAACAACTTTACATATTGTAAAGGTGATGCACCAAAAGGCAAATTATGAATTGGTCCCAAAAAGCTATTAAATGGGGACAAAATTACGGCATCATTATTAACATTAGTAGTCCAGGTTTTACTGGATTTTCGTTACAATTTTCTGAAACCTCTGCTTCCAGATTTGTTCTATGCACATCTTCATCTTTTGCTATAAATGATTCTTCTTCATAATCATTTATTTCATTTCCTATTTCTTTCCTATCGCCGTCTTCTGATTCCAAATCTGACTCAAATGTATCATTAAAAAGAATAGCCTCAATTTATTGTTAAAACTTTGTGATATTTGCGCATTTTGATTAAAGCTTAAAAACACACTTTACCAAAAAAGTATCAACAATGAGCTACCAAAAGATAACAAACCTCTTAGGACAAGCTGTCTGCAGTAAACTGATACAAAGTTTGGGGAAACTGAACCTGCTACTGCATACCTTAGGGGGAGGGAAGAAAACAAAATTGCAATCTCGGCCATTTTCAGGCAGTTATGTTTGTCTCAATGTAGAGCCATGTCGGGCGAATAGGTTGTGAAAGAGTTAATGTACAGCACCTTTTGGTTTCATAGTACATTACTGTGACATCTTTGCATTGACAGTTGCAAAATGGCACAGTATGCTTTTGCTGTTTGTGCTATTAAAGTATTGATTATATCTGTTTTCATTACTCCCATTTCATATTCAATACATTTTTTAACCAAACTCTGCATATATCTCTTTTAATGCATACTTATACTGAAGAAGTAAGGCCAATTTTTCAGTGGTTTGTGTTATGATTCATTTGTATGAAAACACATTTTAATTGGATTTCAAGTGAAATTGTTGCATTTTTTAATTATAAAACATTTATAAATTTGTGTTCATTGTAATTTTATATATTAAATTCCAAAGGTAGCTATTTATTAATTTAATTGCTCAGATTGTTTTTTAATTAACCATACTAACACATCTGTTAAATTAGATAATTTTTTACTGTAGCTCTTTCAAGAAATGTTAATTTAGCACAATTCTTATTTTAGATAAAAAAATTCCACAGACAAAGGGTAAAAATGTTTCAAGAAAGCTTAGAAAAATTTGCTGAAGCCCAATTACGAAATGCAAGAGATGTTACAGCAATGCTTGCAAAATCATTAACGAAAATTAAGCAATTTGAAATCGATCTATAATGAAAGGTGGCTGCTGAAGACTCTTTTTGAGTTTATTAGGGTTTGTATTTCTTTTTATTGTATTCTAACTTAATTAATATTATAAATAATGTATTTGCAGCTTTTACTAGCAAATAATATATTGTGCATTTTAAATGAAATAAAATACATAAATATTTCATTTGTTTTGAAAGATATATGAAAAGAACCACAAACTCACCAAGTTTATACATCCTCTACAAATATTCAGTATGTGCCCTTTGGTGATACGACACGCGTCCAGACGATAATCAAGATCATTCCATGCATTTTGTAGCATTGTTGTCCAGATGTTCGGAATGCCACAAAAAACTGCGTGGAAGATTTTGCATCAGTGGTTGCATTTCAAACCATATCATGCTCCTGCAACAATTAAAGCCGGAGGATTACAACAATTGACTAGATTTTTAAATCAACATGCTGGAAGCATTGGAGGATGAAAATTTTGCCACCAAGTTGATATTCTTTGATAAAGCAACGGTCCACTTATTTATGAAACTGTGAGCTTGTGGTTCTTTTTGTATAATTTTCATGTGTATGCATAATACAGTCAAAAGTCCTTAATCCGGACTCATCGAGACTTCGGCGATTTCGGATTATTGGTTTTTCCGGATTATAGATCATCAGTCTAAATCTGGTAAGATGTCATGCAGAAATTAAAAATATGAAACCGTAATTTATGAAATAAAGAGCAATTATGATCTAAAGAGTATCAAACTTTACAAAAAAAAAGCTTAATATTTATTTGTTTACTTTATTGAACATTTCATTCAACGTGCACATGCATAAAGCATACATTATGCATATCCGAAATTAGAAAATTCCAACCAGAAAACTATTTGATGTGTACTCGTGATATTTATAATGACAAGGAATTTGATTTAAATCATATCAAAGATGGAGTACATCGACATGAAATACTACGTTTAGTAAGAAGTTGTAAGCCGAATAAAATAAAAACATCTGCCCTGAAGATAACGATAGTGCTTGCTGACAGATCAACTTCCGGTTCATTGCATGCCGCGACGTCTCCACCCTCCTGCAGAGTAGCATGAAATTGATAAACAGATTTTGAAATGGTTAGAGAAACAAACTTTATCCATTTTTTGCAGCAATTCCACTTTTTATTTGATGGACATCGAAACATGCTTTCGCTTTGTAGATCCTTTGGCAGCTCCAGAATCGGAAATTCTTTTTGACATAATCGAAATTTCAAGCTTATTTTTATAAAATTGCTTTAACAGTATGCAAAAAATAATAAGCCAGATCCAATTAGAAGATTAAGGAACAACCAAGTCTGCAACATTAACTGAAATAGATAATTAGATAATTTTAGCTTAGCTTATACCGTCCCTTATACATTAAAAGTGCATGCGTAAACATATATGCACATGCGTGAAGGTATTATGCTCATGCGTACATGCATATGAGCATGCATAAATGCATTATGTATTTACGCATGTGCAGAAAATTTGTAGCTTTGAGGTTCGGATTATAGATCATTCTGGATTATAAACGTCCGGATTAAAGACTTTTAACTGTACTTTTAAAAATATAGTCTTTTCAAAATGAATGAATCATTTATGCTAGGTCTGTATAAAAAGATATGTGCCTAAGTGGGAGGATTTAAAAAAAAAGAAAAAATTTCTCAACAGCACACTTTTGAAAAATGTAATTTTAAAGGTTGCATAAAGGATTAAATAGGTCAGAAAAACTGGCACTTTGAACCTTTGGGAACCAGTTTGCCGAAAGAATACTAATCTGAATAATAAGCAATTTTTTGTGACCATAATTCTGCAACTCCCTTAAGAATAGCTTCAGCCCTTATTCAACAAATGGGTCTCAAAATGACATATTTTGAAAAAATATTTTCTCATCTCTATTAAGAACTTAAGATTTTTTTTTTAAGTGATTATGTAGATGAAAAAGCACATTGCTGTTTCAGGTTAGAATTTTTCCGAATGTCTACTGTTTAGGTAAGATCCTTTGAGCATTATTTTTCCTTATTATAGAAAGAGGCTATCATTGATTTTGACAATTTTCACTTTATTGGGTCCTCTAATTTAGCCTTTAAGATGTGTGACCAGATGTTTTGAGCAATCCTCCTCCATAAACATATTGCAGTTAATGGCTATCTGACTAAATATTTAGCAGCTTTTCACACTACTTGGCTGATGTCACTTTTTCTGGCTAACAGTAGATAAAATTTAATATTTTGATCTATGTTTATGATATGTTGTTCTTTTTTAGGAACTACACACTATAATTTAAGTTCATTATAAAGTTTCACTTCATTATGACCACAAAGGCCAATGCATGAAAATATTTATTTTGCCTGGGAAAAAAGAAAAGCATTTTTTTCAGTCAGTGGAAAATTGAAAATATCGGGTTGGAGGGAAAGTTCTGTGGTATTTTAAATAGGCAGGTGATTTTTCTTGTAAATAAAAAAAAAAATCTGGCTAGTGAGTCAATCGGATTTTTTTTTGTTTTTTTAGCTGCTGTATAATATAAAAGGTGCCCTTTTTTACTGTTCATCATTTACCGACATGTTTTTCCCTTTAAATATTACAAGTAAATGATTAGACTTAAGTCTAAGTCTAATCATTTACTTGTAATATTTAAAGGGAAAAACATGTCGGTAGATAAAGTGCATTTAGGACACTGCATTTTATATGAATTCCAAAAAGGAAGCAACGCATCTGTTGCATGTAAAAATTTATGTGCGGTATTTGGAAAAGATATTGTAAATGTTCGTACTTGTCAAAGATGGTTTAGCAAATTTCGTTCCGGGGACCTGAGCCTCAAAGAAAGTGTTCGATCTGGACGACCATCCAAGATCGATAATGATGTTTTGCGATCCATGTTGGAAAATAATCCACATTTAACAAGTCGAGAAATTGCAGAAGAGTTTGGCATTCATCATACAACTGTTGGAGCTCACATTAAATCTCTTGGGTTTGTGTTAAAGTATAAAAGTTAACATAGTAAAATTTGGATAATTACTGTTTAAGCTAATGTAACTTGAACTCTTCCATTGTCATAAAAGTTGAATTGCAAAAATACAGAAGTATTTTATATTAAGAAAATATAGCTCTTTTTTTTTTTCTTGTGTACTGATTTATATTAATTACTTTTTAGCCCAAAGGAGCAAACCAGAAGGGCTATTAATTTTGTTTTGGCATTTTGCATCAGGTGTCTTTCCTAATTGTTGCAACCAAATATTATAGCCCTGCATTATATTTAAATAAATTAAATAATGAAGAAGCTGCATTAATGTATGTATGTTTCTCACACTATGAAAAAACAACGGTACCTAGAGACATCGAATTTTGAATAACGTAGTTCTCCATTCAAATACGGGCATCTGGAAGCCCAAATTTGGAATTTGTTTTATTACCTATTTCTTCAAACATTAAAGAATTTTTTATTAACAAACTCAACGATTTCAAAGCAAGCAACAGCAAAACTCTACCAAAAAAAAAAAAAATTATCTCTAGTTTATCTGGCAGCATCTCCAGGCAGTTGTCTAATATATCTTCCAATATATCTTAGATATATATATATATTGGAAATTCTACAGATATGCTCTTTTAAATATTCTGTAATATTGCTTTTGAACTGAATTTTATAAAACATGGTATTTAATAAGTAAGATAACACACAAAACATTAACCTGAAAGCTTTCGGATTTTTTTTTCCCCATTAATTTACTATAGCATTCTGAAAATCAGTCATGATTAAAATGTGTGCAAGACACATTTAAAGAAAAGTATAATTTCAGATCTAACCAATTTTAGCATTTTCCGAACTGCTATAAATTTCAGCTACATTAAAAATCTCAAATTGTAATTAAAAACAGATAATATCAAAAATCTGTAACACTCTTTTGAAAAAAAATCTAAGCACCAAGGACTTTTGTGATTGTAACGAAATTTGGTATGCAATATCATCTTGATCGAACATGCAAATAATCAAAGTTTCAAGGGAAATGAACAGGAATTGCGATTATAACACGCAATTCGCAAAGTATAAAGCCAGTAACAGAGGCAGAAAATTTATCTTTGTTTTGTTGCTGCCAGTGTAATTCCGTATAGAAGCAACTAAAGATGCCATTGACAATATCGAAGACCTTACAGACAACTAAACGATTTCGGACGTAGTCGCATTGTAGAGTTGCGTGAAGCTGGATGGTCATACTGAGCATTACGCCGCCACCTGCAGTGTAGACACTGCTGCGCAAAGATGTTGTCAGCAATGGTTGCTACAAGGAAATTGCCTACAAAATTAAGGCTTTGGAAGGCCAATCAGCACAAATACGAGGCAAGAAAGGATGATTGTTTGCCAGGCCGGAACTGTCGCAAAGGTATCATTGTTGACTATTCAATGCACTACAGCCACGTCTATGCCTCCCTTGGTACCGTCCACCATCTCTTCACGGCGCTTGCCTGAGGCGGGTTTATGCTCACAGAGGCCTTTAAGATGTTTGCCTTTGACTTCACAACATTGTCTGGAGTGGTGTCGCAGCTGATCATCATGACTGCCATCAGACTGGCATCGTATAATGTTCAGCGATGAATACTGCTTCACTCTTGAAGCAGATGACACCGTGTTCGTGTCTGGAGAGGACAGGGCCAGCGGTCCCAATCAGCCTTTGTTTTACAAAGGCATACAGCCATAACCCCTGGTGTGATGGTGTGGGGCGCTATTTGTTATGACAGCAGGTCATCTTTAGTGATCCTTCGTACATCTTTAACGGCTGAATGATATGTCGATACCATCCTGCGGCTAGTTACATTACCCTTCATGGCACGTCATCCTGGGACCATTTTCCAAGAAGATAATGCCAGGCCACATACCACTTGCATATCTCTGGACTGTCTCTGTGCAGTTGATACTCTTCCTTGGCCAGCAAGGTCACCAGACCTTTCACCAATCAAATATGTCTGGGACATGATAGGCCATCAGATTCAGGCAAAACAAAATATCGCAGATCTGGAGCAACAGCTGATAAATGCCTAGCAGAATGTGTCGCAGGATGACATTAGGAACCTCTACCACTCTTGCCTCTACGAATTCAAGCATGCATTGCTGCCAGGGACGGTTCAACCAACTATTAATTTGAGCATTCGGCGATTGTGAGCTGTGATCAGGTACTATGACCTTGATTTTTTTAAATCATTTTATTATCTGTGTAATAGCTATACACATATTCAATTTCATCAAAAACAACCACTTCCTTCAGGTATTTTTTTTTTTTTTTTTTTTTTTTTTTTTTTTTTTTGTAAAAGAGTGTATTTTTAAAATTTCTGCTCTTTAAGAATTTTTTAATAATAAAACAACTTCGGATATTTTGATGTACTATATTTGGTTTTTCTTTTGGTCACAACTTTACTCCAGTTTTCCAATTATATTGAGAAATTTTAACTTGAAAGGAATTAAAAATACTACTTTAAATACTAAAAAAGATATTCAATACTAAAATCATTTTCTGGTTTTCCAATTAAACATCTGGTTTTTAAAGAAAACTTTGTCTAGTATATTCTCTCATTTTCATAGTTGAGAAGACAGGATGAATTGTCAAGCTTGGTACCTTTGGAGACATCAGTTGCTTTTCTGTTTCAAAAAGCTATTACAGACCATTACTTCCTGTCTCTATCTTTGCTCTGTCTTTGAAATAAATACAGCTGTTTATAAAATAGTTGCAACAAAGACCATTATTACAAATAGGAAGAAGTGAGTTTATAGGAAACAGCCTTTTGAAGTACTTTTAAAGTAACTGGATTGGTCTGAAAAAGTCAGTACTTTTTTCATACACTTTGAAACATTTATTGCCTTAAAATAAATTAGTTAAAAAAACTAATTAATAAATCAATTATCTAGCTTGTTGGATACAAGAAAATAATTTATCGGTTTCTATTTTTAAATGATTAACATTTTAAAATGTCAAAATATCTGATGATGATATAGCTATAAAAAATATCTGCAAAAGCTTGAACAAAATGTGTTGATTTTGTCAATATGACAAATGCATAATAAGGTTATGTCAATAATATTTAATTGAATTTTTAAATATTATTAACTTCAATTTTTTGTATGAATATAGAATGGTGTACGCAGGGGGGGGAGAGTTTCATATCAACTTTCTGAGCATTGTGGCTTCTTGGATCTACTCATGAAAAAGCTGTATTCAAACAGCATTTATTAGCTAGATTTGTTAGAAATATTGTACTTTATTCTTTGTTTTCATACCTTTCGATTCATTACGGTAATTTTTTTAAATTGCTGAAAAAATATGAAAACAAATAACTGTAAAAAGAAAATATGCTCTGAATTATAACAGGTGGACATGTCGCTCAGAGCATTAAATTGAACTTAATATAGAATTAGTAAACTGCCAATTTAGAGTATCATTATTTCATATTTATAATGAAATCTCATATTTAATGTAAATTATTTAAATATGAAACTAGTAAGTTTTTTTTTTTTTCCTTCTTTTTCCAGATAATGAAATTGATTACAAGTTGAAATCGAATTTGGAATGGCGATTATAGGTTATATAGATCACCTAATCAGTGCTTGATTCTTGAACTCTAGCTACAGTTATTTGTAAAATGTATGAAAATAATAGATACTTATTGTACAAATGGATGTTTGACATTTTTTCAAATAAAATATTTCAATTTTTATTAATAATGTTTTTAAAAATGCATGTAAATGAATTCCAACGTTAAGGTCTGTTTCATCATACTATTTACTTACAGTGTTAACATTTTTTAATCTGTCCTATAGGTTTACTTCTTAATCATCAATTGATGATTAACCGGCTTCAGTTAAATAAAACTCTCCTTTCAGTTACATGATTCAAATAATTCCAACACATTTTCTTTTAATGTACTGTAAATTACAGTTATTGATCCTTAAGTATAATTTTTTTTAAACAAAGCCATACATAATAATTTTCATTTTGGATATACAGTCAAAAGTCGTTAATCCGGACTCGTCGGGACTTCGGCGATTCCGGATTATCGATTTTTCGGGATTATAGATCATCAGTTTAAATCTCGTAAGATGGCATGCAGAAATTCTAAAATTAAAAATATGAAACCGTAATTTATGAAATAAAGAACAATTATGATCTAAAGGGTATCAAAATTTGCAAAAAGAAAAAGCTTAATATTTATTTGTTTACTTTATTAAACATTTCTTTCAATGTAAGTTGTTTAAGTTTTGCTTCGTTTCATGTGATAATACTTTGTCTTTAATTCTATTAAACAGACATAATTTCTTGTTCAGTTACAAAGTTACGCTATTCAAGTCCTATAATTGCTGTGTCGAGAACACCCACTAATTTGTCAATCGAAATTTTTTCGTTTTCAATAACCTCTGTTACTTTCTTCGCTATCGAAAGCGAATTATAATGACGAGAAACTTGTTTTAAATCATATCAAAGACGGAGCATATCGAGATGAAATACTACATTTGGTAAGGAATTATAAGCCAAATAAAATAAAAACATCTGCGCTGAAGATAAGGATAGTGTTGACAGATCAACTTCCAATTCATTACGTCGCGGCGTTCCCCCCGCCGAGCAGCGTGAAATTGATAAACAGATTTCGGATTTCAAAACATACTTTCGCTTTAGATCCTTTACATATTAACAAATATATATCGGAAATTCTATTTGATATAATCGAAAGTTTAAGCTTACTTTTATAAAATTGCTCTTACAGTCTGCAAAAAATAATAAGCCGGATCCAATTCGAAAATTAAGGAACAACGCAATCATCAACATTAACTGAAATAGATAATTAGACAATTTTAGCTTATACGTCCATTATAATAAAACGCGCACGCGAAAACGTATTCTGCACTTGCGCACACTCATATGCGCAGTCGTAAAGGGTCTTACGCGCACGCGTAAACGCCTATGCGCATGTGTCAACGCGGCGCATGCGCAGAAGTTTTTAGTTTTGAGGTCCGGATTATAGATCATTCCGAATTATGGGTGTCCGAATTAACGACTTTTGACTGTATATCTTCTAAGATTTGTTTCACTCTTAACATTCCTTGGGTTTGGGGGAAAAGATTTTTTGTTCTTAAAATGTGTGATAAAAGCATTATCTACATGAAAGTTACAGCATTCATATACATCAAGCTTCTATACCCATCTACTGCTTCAAGAAAATTCAGAAATTCTTCAAGGGTAATGACAAAAGTTATAGCTGCCAATCTTGAAATAAGAAAATCAAGAGATTTTTTATGTGAAAACCGAGCATTTCCAGGTAGTTTTAATGTTGCATGGTGGCACCATTTCAACAGAACTACAAACTGAAGTACATTTACTTTATGATGCAAAGTAGCAGCACTATTTAAATGTTAATCTTATGTAAAATACATTAATATTTCATTAGATATTCAAAATTTTATGTTTTGGGGCTAATTTCATTTCATAATTTTCTTACTCATTTATATATCGAGGAAATCTGAGTTGTCAAAAGCTTTTACTTATTAAAGTATTCTTAAATATTGTTACAGTTTTCGTATTTTTGAGCTATTTCAGTAGAATTTGTTATTAAAATTGTTTTATATTCCCGTGCAATGCAGCAGGAGACATTTGAAGAGAAAGCTAAGCCGAAAGATTCAAAATACAGGACATTTAATAAATAGGTATCACATAATTGTACTCTTTTGCTTTCCAAGAAACTTGAGAAATTAAGAGAAGCTTCTTGTGCATTTAAAAAGCTTATAAAAGCTGGAGGAAAACATCTCAATTCAGTTGTTTAACTGTTTAATGTAGAGAATTTGCGGTGAAGCTTTCTCTGTTTTAAATTAAGTTCTGTTGAACATTTTAGTAGTTTAAAAGATAACTACTGTGAGATATTGCGATATTGTACGAATATATCTAAGAAAATTTAAGCATTTTGTTTTTATTTGTTGTGATAAGAATAAATTTATTCACTTTTCATCGAATTTGTGCATTAAATTTATTATGAACCCGTACGCACGCAACACTTTTTGGTGTCAGGAGTGGGGTATTGAATGGCAATAACAAGGGCGATGGAAGAACGATTCAGGCAATTGATGACTGCATTTGCTGCATTCCAAGAAAAGGTGGAAGTGGATGTCAACTGTATTAAAAAAGAAATGATAGTGGGTCAAGTAGAGATAAAAAGCGGGAGAGGAATTCATTAAAGAAAAATGGAAGCTGGTCAAGTATCTGTTGAAAAAGAAATGAAAGCTCTTCAGGAATCTGTTAAAGAAAAGATTGAAGCATGTCAAGAGGAAATGAAAAGAGAAATTACCCGCGTGATAGAAAACAAGTATGAGACTATGGAAGGAAGAATAGATACAGTTGGAGATATTCAAGAAAGAGTTTCTGCCATCCAACAACAAATTGATGAAAGGGTTTCTGCTGCTGTCGCCAAAGAAGTTGACACCTTAAAGAAGTGCATAGCGACAAAAAGAAGCAATTGTAAGGTTTTTAAATTTTTATCGATGCTTCTCGTTTCATCCTGAAGCTATCCACATATGAAGGAGAGAGGCAAGTATATAAGACAGAGTTTTCTATAGCAAATCGAAGGGGTCCCCAAGCTAAGGCCTGTGATCTCTGAGATCGCCACTTCTCTGAGAGCAGACGCAGCGGATATCCTTCAGACTCTTCCCGAAAACAAAAGGCTAGATTTTGAAGATCTATCTGGCACGCTGGAGCTGCGCTTTGGCGAGAAATGTTTAAAAGACTGCAGTAGGCTTCAGTTAAAATCCCGTCAACAGAAGCCCACTGAAACACTCCATGAGCTCGCCACAAATGTTGAAAGGCTGTCCCATCTCACCTTTTCAGAGTGCCCGACAGAAACAAGAGAAACCCTGTCCCTGTAATACTTTATCGACAGCATCCGGGATCCTGAAATACAGAAAGCTCTATAAATGGCGGATGTTAAAAGATTTGAAAAACACTTGTGCACGACATCAAATTCGAGGCAGCCCAGCAAGCAATTCGTAGAGACCTGCACCCAGAGCTGCTCAAGTCCAGGAGCCAGAGGATCATGTCACTGTTCGTCTAGATGACATGACCAGACAACTCAATAACCTGAGACGGAATATTATTGACAAGAAACCGACTCTAAAGTGCTGGAACTGTGGTACTGAAGGGCACATACGAAAAAACTGCAGAACACCTCAGGGCACGGATGTTAAGACTGCGCCTATCGTGAAAGAGAGAAACCAATTCATGGCCATCTTGCAGGGCGGAATTTGCCAGATAATAAAAAGCTCCAGTTAAAGAGTGGTTCAGATTTCGGCAGTAAGTGGCGGCAGTAATGGACTTCTCATCATGGGACACATCAGTGGAGTTCCTTGTAATAAAACCATCGATACAGAGCCAATGTTACCATCATTCGAAAGGATGTGGCTCAACAACTAAAAGGTAATCTAATCTAAACGCCGCCCTGCATTACTCTCCAGATCGTGTCCGGGCATAAAATCAACATTGATAAAAAATTAAACGTTAACATCACGTTTGGAAGTGCCGCCTACCATCACATTGCATATGTAACACAGATTGCAGGTCCTTGCATACTCAGATTAGGCTTTATAAGAAATACAATTTTTCCTTGGACTGTAAAAATAACAAACTGCATTCCACTTCTGATGATACTAACCTATTTGGAATTAAGGATGAAGGGGAGTGAAAGTTATCCACAAAATTATAGCTGAAGACGATATCACAATACCCGCAGGAACACGACTTATCGAGTATTGTTATCCCGGTGGCGTAATGGCAGACCGCACATTGAGTTGAACAGTGTTAAGCGAATTTCGCTTACTGCGCATGCTTGATGGTGTACCTTTGGCGCAGGAAGAAATATTGGCGACTAAAAGCAACCCTACGCTAGCTTATTCGTGATTTCCATGGCTGTCGAGTGTGGGCGAATGATATGTACGACTGCAATGTTGTGGAACTTTGTTTATTAGTTATTTTAACGTGCATACCGATTGCACTTGCTTATTTTTCTAATATATGGTTCATTTTAATTTGTGTAACAGTGCATTTAATAATTGCTACCATATATTGTGCTTAATAATTCGTTATTTAGATGTAATTTGTTTACATGTTATAATTCTCAGTAATGTAAACTGAATTTTCCTGCTTAGTTTGTTAACGTATATTCGCGCTTTTATTTCTTATTTAAAAGAATTAAATAAACAGCATTTTTGAATTGTAAAATTTCTTCAATGTTATTTGCAAACACATGCTATATTTTTTACGTATGTCCGTGTTTCTTTACGTATGTACGAATGGAACGTATGGTAAATTCTGAGTTGTTTTTATTCCTTAAAAGTGTAATGAATAAATTTTCAACTAATATATCCTAAATTTCAGTCTTTTTCTGAGCGAAAATTCGTACAGTTCCAAAGTAAAGTGCAGAATTTCATAAGTATAAACATTACATTTTGAATGCAAACACTGCTTCACATTATTTCGTAATAATTATTTACATCTCCTCCATCTATGCCTGTATCAATTTTTTCATCGGGTTATTTGTCAATATATCCTGGTAGAATTAGAAATATATTATTAGAAAAGGTTTTTCCTGTATCATCTGCAAGGAACAGAAATTTAAAGCGATGAATTATTGGAATGAATTTTAGTCAGCATTTGAAGTTATTTAGAATTCCACTGCAGTGGAAAATAT